TCTAACCCTTCTAGTCCTTTCAAATAGTGCCATTGCCTGATGACTAAACGTTCACATGTATGAGCCTATGGAGGACATTTCTATTCAAACCACCACAGCTATGTGGTGGTCACTGTACTGTGGAGGTCTTGGACGAAGATGCTGGAATTCTTCTCTGTCCTAAAGGCACTGGTCATGCTGGAAATCCCATTATTTCACTTCAGTTCAGTTACATCCAATTCAGTTTATTTTAGCTCATTTCATGCTAGTTGCACAATGAAAGTGGATCCAAAAATAGCATGGAAATTATCAGAGGGATTGGGTCTTAGGCAGCTCTAGTTTTGAAAGAAAACAAGGGTCTGCTAATCTACTCTTCTCTGTTCCCACCTTATTCTAAGACAAAAAGGAGGCTACTTTGCAATTAAAGGGGCTAGAGGTCTGACTCACACAAAACCATGGAAGCAGCAGTTAGCAAAAAACAACAACCATTATTGTATAAAGTAATCATGATGTCTCAGAAAAAGATAACATTCCTCAGAAAACCTTTTTCAAGATCAGTTCACATGGAAATGACACCAATTCTTCCTTTCTTTATACTCATTCTTGTATATATATATATATATATATATATATATATATATGTATATATATGTATACATGAGCTTACTGTATTTTTAAACTTGTAACATGTAGTCTTCCCCCCAGCTGCCACCTTTGTTGTGGGATTCCCGCATGGGTCCCTTCACTGCTTTAGCCCCCAAGTAACACACAGGTGCTATATTAATTATGAAGCTGTTGGTCATTTGCTTGATTTCTTATTGGTTAGTTCTGACTTAATTATTAACCCATACCTGCTAATCTGAGTATTTCCATATGATATTCTCTTACTGGAGAAAGGGTCCAACCTCTTCTCCTATGTCCTACCTACATCATGACTGACTGTGCCTCTGTTTCCCAGAATCCTCCTCGATACCTAGTCTCTATTGCTTCCCTATTGTCCAACAGTACTTTATTCATTAATCAAAGAGAGAAATATATACAGAAGGACTTCCCCATCATAAACTTATAATTCATATTTCCTCTACAGTACATTCTGGAATAACCAAATAACTAAAATTAAAATGGGAAGTTAAACATCTAAGCATTTGCTTTTAATTCACCTGATTTTAAATGATTTGTCTTCAAACTGGAGAAATATATATATATATATATACATATACATATATATAGCTATAGGCGTATGTTATAAAACTTATGGATACATTTTACCCTTACACCAATAGGAAAAATAGTCTGACGAAGCCAAATTTGTAATCCTGACCCTGGAAAGTTAAGAAGAGGCCTGGAGTTGTAATACAGCAATAGATTATTTGTCTGGATTCAATCCCCAGTCATTTCAAATAAACTAAGACAAGCAAAAATGAATAAAATAACTAAACAAATGAGTATGGGGCAGGAGTGATAGATCATTGTATTTCAGGAGAAATAGCATGCAACTATGAGACATAGACACCTGCTGATATGAAATTCACATGGTCTCAAATTCTCCCATGATGGTTCAGTTAGGGGAACTCAACCAACTTTTAATAACACATACAACTTGTAGACTTAATGAGTTAGCTACAAACCACTGGGGATCAAGCCACAGCCTGATGAAATCAGATTCATGGCTTCACTGCCTCGAGGGTGGTCTCTTTAAAAGAGCCAGGAGAATGAGCCAGGAGGAAGAGACCTGGAAAGGTTTGGCTCTCAGGAAGGCTTCTGAGCAGTGTTCCCAGAAATCAGTGGGAAGCCATTCTAGATTATTTGCTGATCCATTGATGATGGGATTAAATCAAGAAGATGAAGTTGGATGATGTTCTGTAGTGAGGGGAAGGCATTTAGCAATTGTGTGTCCCTAGCAGTCAGTAATATTTGAGTGAAGTGTACCTGTGAGCATCGCTGGTAATGAGTCAGTTGTCACTTAGGAAGAGTTCTTATGGTTCTGGACAGGGGCTGCGTGACACAGGAAAAACACAGTTTCCTGTTAGTTACATAGTCAACTTCAGGATCCACTCTCCACAGATGATGAGCAGTGGGTTCCTGGCTTCTTTTTTAGTCTGAGTTGATTTTCACTCTTATATGTCTGAATGGTTCTCTTTTCACTATGGCATACATCTCTGCTATACATACAATATACATGCATAATATGTAAATTTTTCACAGCCGTATGTAAAACTTGGAAGTAGACTCTCATCTTGATTATTCATTTATTCAAATATTCACATTCAATTCTAATAGATGCTTAAAGATTTCAGGTCAGGAAACGTTCTATTTTTAAATTTTAGAGATGCAGTGTGTTGGAGGTGAATCTGGAGCTCCTCTTTTTTGTTTCTGTTTTAAATATTCAGAGACACATCTTTTCTGCATGAGTTAGTGAGAAAGGAATGTGCTAGAATGTACAGAGGCCAATATGAAACCCCTCTCTTCTAGGGAAGGCTTTGTGCAACTTTTTCTAAAGCCAAATCACTAGTTACTGGCAGAGATTCTATGCTTGTTGGGGAGAAATTAGTTGCTGTTAGTGGAAAGGAAGCATCTGCCCACCCTGCAGGTGTTGCTCATGTACTGATGCTGCATTAATGCATCGTTTCATGTCCTGAGAAACCACAAGATTACAAACATGGTTGGCACATAGTAATTATTTCCCTGTCACAAGATGGAAATCTTGATGATGAATGGAAAAGCTCCTTCAATTTTTAAGTTGTCTGACCAAGATGTTCCTCTGGAAATAGATAAATGTTGTGTTCTGTCAAAATGCCATTATTCTGATTTATTTGGCTAACTTTTATGATGTCAAAGAAGTTATTTGATAGATTGGAATGAATTTAATTTTATTTATTATTTATTTATATTACTGCTTGAAAATTAAGGAATTGCCTAAAAGCCTCCTGAAGTGAAAATGTTAGTTGCTCTTCCTCTTGTTGCTTTTCCGATTATTTGGGGCTGTTCTGAAAGTGGATGCCAGTTACTTTGAGCTACTAACAAAATATTTCACTGAAATTGTCAAAGAATTGCAGGGTGAGTTGTCTGAGTTGTTTTCTAAGAGTTAATGGTAAAGACATCATCATGATATCACCTTATAATTACAGTTTCTATTACAGCTAGCAGTCTATTAGGTCCTACATGTTTCAAATTAAGTTGGGGCTTAAAACTTGAAAAAGAAAAAGGCTGGCATGAAATAGATTCCTAAATCAAATAAAATTAGATAAAAGCATATCGAGATTAAATCATGTTCATTTAGCATCCCAATGTAACAAAGTTAAACAAGAAAAGTAAACTTGAAGGCTTTTAAACATTAACTTTTAAAAATATTTCCAGTTTTCAGTATCTGAAGAGGATTCTACTGTCCTTTCCACTAACATCTACACTTCATGGGATTTAAGTTGTTTATATCTCAACTTTCAGGTTTGGTTTTACCAAGGAACAAACACAGAAATTACCCATTATCTCTTTTAATATATATAAGAATTAAAGCTTAGTCATTTGATGATAAGTTCTCAACATGTGGGTCATTCGATTCCTTTCACAGGGTTCGTCTAAGACCACATAGTGAGGAACTGTATTAGTGTCACAGCATTTGGATGGTTGAGAAAAAACTGGTTTAGACCCATGAAATAGGACAGCTGACCCAAGTCAGGGTTCCATGGAAATGAGCACAGTGAACATAATAATAAGACACATTTAACTGTAAATAGAGATATACTAAGCATTAGCTAAAATATCCGACAATGTAAGAAAGACAAAAATGTTTGTGTTGCATCTGTAGTGTTATTTACAACCTTATTCTACTATTTAAATTGTTACACTTCTGGTACAAAGTAAAACCTTCTCAATATGAAATAATTTTAATACTTAATACAATAAAAGCTTAAAAAATTAATTGCATCATTTAGATAGATTTACCTTTTTGTCTTTCAAGTCATTTTTGACTTGAAATATGTATTTCTTTGTGAAAGCATGGAGATTGTATTGTTGTGTGTAAGTGTATGTATGTAAACATATCTGTGTGGCATGTAGGTTGATATGTGTGTTCTATGCACATTCATGTGAATTCAAAAACACATCTCTCTCACACACACACACATACACACACACGAGGACAAATATGCTCAAAGAGTCTTGGATTTTGCTCTTTTTGTATTATCTACATTTCTTTTTTAGACAGATTCTCTCACTAGCCTGGGACACCCAAAGCAGGGTAGGCTGGTGGAACAGTAAGCAACAAGGTTCTGCTTATCTCCACTAGAGCTGTTTTGATTTATCCATTTTAAATGTAGAGTCTGGGGACTGAACTCAAGTCCCCATGCTTACAAGGCAAGCACATTTCCAACTGAGCTGCTTCTCCAGCTTTCGTATTATATTGTTTTTGTACATCTATTTCTCATTTAATGTTTTCTCAAGAGCATTTCCTAATAGCACAATATAATTTTCAAAGTCTGATATATAATGACTGCCTATTTTAATATTCCATTATATGGAAGAACTTTATTTTCTATTGTATAGCTAGTTATTTTTTAAGGGTTCTGTTTTTAATAACATATATTATTTAGCCGTAACGATATGTGTAGATGGGTACATATTAAATCACTCAAGATAGGGACTAAGTGAAAAAGACTTTTTAATTTATGTGGATTAAGGAATACTTTGAAACAAATTGCCTGTTATTCATCTTCAGTGTGTGTGTGTGTGTGTGTGTGTGTGTGTGTGTGTGTGTGTGTGTGTTATGGGATGAAACCTAGGGACTCACATATTCTATACACATATTCTACCTTAATTTTATTCATTCTTTCTTAAATATGATTTGTAAAATTGAGATTTTAAAAGAGAAATTAATGCATTGTGGTTATGAGTATTTGCAACTTAATTTACTTAAACCATTATTTACATTCCTCTTCTTTCTGCCTGAGACCTCAGGAACCTGTGGTGCTGATGCTGAAGGAAGGGATGGAGTGGATGTTGATTCTCTGATACTTTAACCATACCTGAATATTCCAGAATCATAATGCACAGCTCTTATCATTGCATTTGGAATTGCAATCCATGTTTCCTTGGTATTGATGAAAGAAGTTACAAGATGGAATATTGTGTAGACCTTAAATTCTAGAAAAAGACAGCACATAGTTACTGACTGTGGAGTTTCTTAAATTCTGGACTCAAGTTTGTTAATTGGTTGGGTCATCCATGACTGTGCTAACATTCGGAAAAGCAGGTGAAAGATGAAGGGAAAACTGACTCAAATGAATATGATTAATAAAACATGGGGAGAGGCATTGGGTTAGACAAACTTACTGTATCTTTCTCTCCTCTTTCCAGTATGTAGTAATGGTCTCTCTCTGTCTCTCTCTGTCTCTGTCTCTCTTTGAATATTTGTCTACATCTCTATTTTATTAACTCCCTCAAGGAACAGTGAAACATTCTATTATAAAATATGCCAAAAATGTAAGAGAATGAAAATTTTCAAACAGAAAAGTTGAAGTGTTTTAAGAAAAAAATTTTAATGTGCATTTAAGTACAGAGAGAGGGAGATGTGCTCAGGAAAAGCCTGAAGTGTATATGGGCTTCTTAAAGTCTGTATATTCAACTGACTAACAATAATGATATATACAAGTTGAGTGGCTTCTGATGGCGCAGTGTTAACACAGTTCCTATGGCCTTCCTTTTCCTTAGAGGAAAGAGATCATAGGGTGGTTTGTAAGGTGAGATAAAGTTGGGTGGAAGTTGAAGCTGATAAGATAAAAGCCCAGGTCTTAGGAACATCAAAGCAGTTCTTACCAACTAAGTCACAAGGGAGTTAAGGTCCATGCTTTTACTGCTAACCACATCCATAGTCTTATTTGTGAGATTCTCGGGAAGGTATAGGTTTACTGCCTGGAAAGGAAGGTTAAACTCATAGGTCAGGTATTCTAGGTCATAAGCATGCTTCTTCATTCTTATTTGAAATATCTTTAATAAAAAACATAGTGTCCTCTGTAGAAAATCTTTGCAGGAATTTTTGTCAAAACTATTGACTCTTGGACTGAGAAATGTCAGATACCAAGGCACCTGGTTTCTTTTCTTTTCCATGGTCCCTTTATTTCCCCTTTATCTTTTTATTCTGCTTCAATTTTCCCTTCAAACACTTTGGTCCCTTAATTTTAAAGCCACAATTCATTTTCTAGATTGTCTTCAGGGCTGACCAAGGACTTAGATCATGCCTACCCAGGGATTAAAGATCTAGGGAGAGATCATGAGGTCTAGGTTTGGAGACTGAAGGGAATCTGGAAGAGACAATGTCATTCATTGGGGCATGAAATCATGAGAACAATAACTATACAGCAGCTTACTATGTCTAATCCTAAAATTAGGACCAAAACTGTAATCCTAAGATCTATATTTTCTTTTTCTGTTTTTCTGAATCATGAAGTGCATGAGACAGTGATACTATTAAAACATTAAAATTTAACCCAGAATCTGACAGGATTTAATGTATCTTTCAAATCTTGTCTGACTTGTCATGTATAGACAGAGCTTCCTACTCTAACAATGACAACATTCCCTATTGCACCCAGCATCAAAGCCTGAAGAAAACTCACAGAGTATCTAGATTTTACAAATAAGATTCTTAAGAACCAATGTGACTGAGTAGTGACCACACATTCCAAATCAGCATCCACAATGCTTAGAAGACAGGATGTATTATGATTGTTAAGTTGTGTCAGCACTGTTTTTCTAGGAAGAGCCACCATGGTTTACAAAGTTTCTCCTTAATGGCTCATGGGGTCATTTTTTTCACCCATTAAAAAAGTAGGAAAATAAGCAAAATCAAATTTTAAAAGTCTCATATATGTCTGTGAAATCAATTCTCCAGCCTGAAACCATTCTTGGGTAATCACATGACCTTATGTATCTATTTTATAGTACTAGAGATGGAAACTAGAACTTGTTACATGCAAGGAAGCTCTCTACCACTGAGCTCCATGTACAGCTTGGTCACATGGCTTCAAACACAGTCAATATGCTGATGTGTCTGAAATGCAATCCCTAATTCTCTGATTTGTGACTTTTGTACTGAGTGAGAACTTGACACTCACTGACTGTTCACGAAGATAATGTAGTGCAGTACAATAAGTTCAAAAGTTAAATCTGAACTCCCAATGTCTAAACTCATTCCTTCCCTATACACATCTTTAAGTAAGAACATTTTGTAAATGTTCTAGTCAAAAATGAACATGGGTCATCTTTGACTCTTCTCTTCCCATGCTGTCACTGTTTTAAAGACTTTCCATCTTGTTTGCCATCTTCTCCTGTGATTTCCTTATAGTTCATACATAGCAACAAAAGCATTCCCTCACCTTCAAGACCAGAGCAAATTCTTGCCCCTTGGCAGTCTTCCAAGGTTCCCACATCCCTCACAGTGAAATTAAGACTTTACTGTGAGTGACCTTACCACCATCACTCTTTTCCTTGTTCACTTTGGTCTTCTTTAGTGAATTTCAAGGCTATGTGATCAAGGTAGTTTTCTCTCTGCTTCTTGGGCTCCACAAGTGATGAGAGGCTACCATTAAATTCGGATGAGTAGCATTTAGCCTAGTAGCTTAGTTGTGATGGTGTTCACCTAGTTGTAGCATGTCATCACTTCAAATATTTCTAAACTACAAATAAAGCAAAATAAAATAAAAGAATGCTCATAGGGACCATGTAAATAGCCAATTAGCTGCACCTTTGGGCAGACTGACAGTGTGTCAGGTCAGTTATAGTATCTGTACCTATACAGAACAGTATTTGACTTTGGTATTCATAAATAACAAATTAATGACAAGAAGCTCCATGACAGCCAAATTAAAAAGAAAAGGGGTTTGAAATAATGTCAAAATGTGCTTTGATTGAAGTCAAAGAAACTGTTAAAATTAATTTTTCTGGGTTTTGAGCTATGTGGCTAATAAATATTACAAGAAATGTTTTGCTCTTAACTAGCATGTCTTTACTTGTTCTTTGTAAAATAGTTGCTGCTTCAGGAACAGAATTTGTGTTGTTTTATCTCAAAGGTCTCTTTGATCTCCTCATCAATTTTGAAAGTGTATTCTTGTTGTGAAAAATCATAGCTCCATCACCATTCCTACGAGGAGGAATGGATGGGCCAAAAGCTGATTTTCAAGTTTTCCAGGAAACCAAAGTGAGACCTCTCCTATCAATTTTCTTCCAGAACAGTTGGGTTAAGATCCAAACACCAGAAACAGGGGGCTGGACAGAAGAGCACGTGGATATCTGCTTGCTTTTTTCTGTCTTCAAAGCTTAATTATATATAGTATAAACATTCCATTCTGTTAGTTCCTAAGTATCTGTACTTGCATTATTGTCATTTCTTGCAGAGGCCATTTTTGCAAAGAACTGTGAGAGATGTCTCAAGTTTATCATGTGAAATGCAATTCTGCTAATGACAGACAAATTGTTATTTCTCCACCGGGTGCCTATTTATTGAAACAGAATAGTTTACTCCAATTTAAAAATGTGAGGACATTTTTCATGAAACCACAATGAGCAATCAGTCCTACAGAAACCACAGTGTGCTATAAAGAGATAATAGATTATTGAAGCTTTTCTCTCAAAATATTTTTTAAAAATGTACACTAACTTGACAGGCTATATATTAATAGGTTGCTTTCCACTCTATCAAAAATAAAGAATTCAGGTTTTTGCCTAGCTACTAACTGGCTGGGGCTGGGTCTGAATTTAGCTTGATTATGAAAATACTGCTTTCCAAACATTTCATAAAATGTGTCTCCTCCATGCTCTTTCTTAGTTTTGTGTTAGTCTGAAAAAACAGCATCCTAATGATTTCTCCTAGCTCTTGTGTTTCAGTTTGTCTCTGCTTCCCTATGTCCTTTGTGAGCATGGTATTCAAAAGGCAAGTCACAGATTAGTCCAAACTTGAGTAATTGGGGAACTCCTGTACTCTGAATTACTGATCTAACTTTTCCATTTACTTTAACCCACCTCTTATAAAAAGCCACAGCGTACTGCGAATAGAACTGCAGAAAGTGAAGGAATCTCAAAATTCTCCACAAAGAATGAAATCAAACTGTGTTGTGGAAAAGCCCCACCTTCTTTCACGAGACCTTGGTACAAAGAGAAAGAATTTGATTGCTAACTTGACTTTGCTGGATGCTGGTGTTTCTTCTTGCTCTGTTTTTCTGTCCTGAATTACTAGAGATGAATGCCATTGGAAGTTTTTGTCAGTACTGAATATCATCATTTCATTTCTTTTGGACCTTAGCTCTGGGGATCAGCTATATTTAGCTGCCTTACACTTGTGTGTGTAAGATTCTACCGTCTACACCAATAAGCTTGAAACTGAAGCTTCCAATGTAGTCACCCACAAAGTGAAGCGCTAATTACTGGTCCAATTGGGTACTTCTTTTGGAAGGTAGTGAAATGTCACTAAATATATGAAGAGTGTGGTAATTTCTGTGTGGAATAGTTTGATAAAGCAGAGAGGAGGGTAGAACCTAGTAGGCTTTCCAGGTAGTGAAATGGGTCTGTATGATGCTGGTGTGGTGGACACAGGACCCATAATATTTTTTTAAAACTCAGTTTGCACAACACAAAGATCTGACCCCAGAATGAATAAATGGACCCCAGGTATCACTGAGTATGAATATGAATACTTGATCATCATTTATAACAAATGGACAATATAAATGCAGAATGCAAAGTATAGAAATGGTGTGGTTGGGGGAATATATCACTTTGTACCTTATGACTTTTTTTGTAAGCCCAAATCAAGTTTATTTCAAAGTCTAATGTTTAAACTTATGCTTTTGTAGGGTGGGACTGTTGTTTTATTTTTGAGATAGAGTTTTTTCACATAGCTCAGGCTGTGCCAAACTCACAACTCACCTGCCTCAGCCTTGCAAATGCCGACAGAACTAGGTTAAAATTCATTTTTTAAAAGGAAATAAGAAGAGTGCACCCTAGGTACAATAGATGCATAATTCAGTAATGACAGATGACAATGTTCCCAAAGTACCTTCCCAAAAAATTAGCAATAGAACCACAGGGCTCCTGTTTCTACAGATCAATATGTTTGGGACAACAAATAGTTGGCCTAGGCAATTAAGGAAAGGAGATGGAGACGTTCTATCTTTTCACACATTCTAGAGGACACTGGTTTGGGGCTGGGGAAGATGGCTCAGCAGTTAAGAGTGATTGTTGCTCTTTCACAGGACTTAACTTTTGTCTCTGGCACCTACTTTAGGCACCTCATAGCCACATGTAACTCCAGCTCCAGGATACCTAACACTTTCTTCTGGCAGTTTTCATGTACACATATAAATAAGAGAATAAATCTTTCAAAGAGGAACATTGGTTTGGTGGGCACCAATGCCATGCCTATGTGGTCACTTGTTTTGGTGTGGGCAACACAAACATACTGAAGCTCATTTGAAATTGAGTTCCAGCTTGCCATTCTGACTTTTGAATTCCCAAGGAGTCCTCTTTCAAGGGCTCATGGATCATATCCCCATCAGAATCTGTATTTGGCATGGATTTTGAAGAATTAAGGTTCTAAAAAGAGTTTTCCATATGAGTGAGGGACATCGGGGCTAGCATTACAATGCCCTTTTTTATTACATTTTATTGGCATATATTCATTGTGCAAATGATAGAAACATGATATTTGTTTTTCTGAGACTTACTTTGTAATATATTATCGAGTTTCATCTGTTATTTCCCGTGAACATCACAATTGTTTTCTGTAGCTGAACAAAACTCCCTTGTAATATATAGCATGTTTCTTTATCAGTCATATGTTGATATCCACCTAGAATTATTCCAGGACTTACATATTGTGAATAGCTACCAATAAAGATGTTCAAGTACAACTA